ATAGTTCCAGAAGATCAAAGACATTAAAGACTTGTTGTTTTTTTTGCAGGTAGAAGTTGCACATACGACAAAGATTCCTTTGGACTCATTCCTTCCATCTTGATATCTCGGACCATTTCCTATTTGCTTAGACCTGAATTAGCTCTAAGATCAGGAGAGATAGGCTATTGAGTCTCCATAACACTACTCTCCATGTTATCCTCATCATCTAGCTGCATGCACTTGGTCCACGTACGGATTTGTTGCGTTGGCCACAGGGTTGGCCATTTTCACTGTGTTAGACTTGCTGCAGTCCCCACATCGAACCTCTCGTTCCCCTTTCCTCGGTGAAGAGCGTTCCCTCTTACTTGATTCAACGATGCAAGGCTCTATTATCCCTTTTTTCAAGGACTAACTTATCCATACCATTCCAAACCAACGTGTAAGCATTCTTTGTTTCAACAAATCTCACAATTTCCTTTCTTTTTGACTTCCCTACTGCCCTATCCACCTTTTGTTGCTCTGCCTCATCACATAATGGTTATTTATTGATAACTCTTTTGGGGCTTACTTCCACCTTGTCTTCTCTTCTCACAATGGTATGCCTGTTCTCCCTAACCAAATAGGTATTCACTTCTTTTGCAGCAATGTCTTTCCTTTGCATTCCTCTTCATATCCCACTATTCCCTTTGTTACCTCTTGTGACCACTATCTACGGTCCGAAGTTTGACCCCCATCCTCCACGGGTTTTTGATCTGAAATAGTAGCATCCAATCCCATCATGCCAACATTCTCCAAATTATTCTGTTCACGAGTGACCAACTGGACTTGATTGGGACACCCTTTAGCTCTATGTCTGTACTTTCCTGCATGAAAATCATATGGCATGTAGCCCGTTATATTCAGCTTATTTATATCTGCCCTCAATGAAGTATTCAGCTTTGAAAGGTTGGCTTAAATCTAGTTTGACACAAATCCTAGAGAAGTTGCCTTTAGCCAAATTAGTTATAGCAGCATCCAACCAAACAAACTTCCCAAGCCAATTCCCAACGCTCCTCATCCGTGACGCATTAACATATTATAGGGGGAACCTGAAAGCCTTACTCATGCAGTCACTAGACATATAGAGGCTTGGAGAGGTTCAAAATCTGGTTCCCATACCTTAATAGTCAAATAATGGTCAAAGATGACCCATGGTCCCCTGTCAAAGCAAACTCCATATCTTTCTTATTCTCAAACCTTACTAAGAAGAAATCATTCTCTATGTCCATAACGAAGATCTTTCCATCATGAGACCATATATTTTCAAGCCTTTTTTTTCATGAAGGTGATCAAGAGTTCCCCCCCATAAGCTTAAATATGAGAGTTTGCTTCCATGGCCTCCACACTTTTTTCTTAAACACGTCCGATAACTTGAAGTTGATTTTCCCATCATTGCGAATCTCCATAGTTATCTATCTCATTTGCTTCCACCGACCATCTTTTGATCCTTGCAATCCATCCTTCATCAATAGATCTTCCTCTTCCTATGGGTTTATCTCCTCCTTAGACATCCATTCACTGTGGTGTCTCATAAGGATCTCTTTAAAGCTTGCTTGTCCCTCCATCCAGTCTTCCTTACTTTGCACCAAAGTCTGCTCATTAGAGAATATGTTAGATGTTAGCTCGGGTTATTGTAGCTGATATAACAATTAGCTAACTGACATGGAAGCTTACCACAAGATGTATAAAAAAAAAGGAATTATTATTGCTCTTTGAGAATATCGAATAATAGAAATCAAATTCAATTTCTTATTTCTTGTTCGTAGAGCCTCAGGCTCTAACATGAAGGTCCTGGATATCCCCACAAGCTTTAACTCTTTAAGTCAGTTATAAGATTAACTCGTGTCAGGACTTAGTCATAGTTAAAACTCATTGCTTTTCCCTCCTCCTCGAAGATATATTTTATGAGAATAACTTAAATTTTTTAAATTGAAATAATTCTTTACAATAATAATGCACAAAGTATAATAAAAGTATTACACTTGAAACTACCAAAAATGACACAAAGCTCTATGCTATGAAGGTGATGGGCATTATCTTGAATATAATATCATTTGAGTAAATTCGACTCGCAAGTTTTATTCAATGGAAAATAAGGGGCAAAATTGTACCAAAAATTAAAATAACAAATAAGGAGCAAACCAAACTAACATGAGCACATGGGCTGGTTTACAAGAGGACAATCGTTAGGGTGTCTACGCTACACAACATATATCACTGACAAATTCCAGACTCTGGAAGTAGATAAAATATAGCAGCTCCTAAATAGGAATATTCAATCCACCTAGGAAGTGACAACTGTCAAAGAAACAAAAATGAAATGTACACCAGCATAGTCTCGTCTAGAGTGTAGACATTTACCATGCATTAACAAACTCATACTGTCAAGAAAATAAATACTCAATTAATCTACAGCTCAAAGAAATAACAATTAAAAAATATATACATCAGAACCAGGTGGTTAAGTTGCTAGCTAGCAATATATCAAAAAATAAAATAAAAAATTTGCTTGCTAGCACATAAAAAATTCTTAATTATGAAGAATGTCTGTAAACTCTTGTTGAGATTTGTAGCATGTTATGACTTTTGAATGCTATAATCTTTTCTCTTAAACTTTATATTATTAAAATAAATAATTTATCTTTTCTGTCAAAGTTGTTTGTTGTTAGTATTATCATGTCTGATGACGTGTCTATTGTATAATTATTGTGTTTGTCGTTATTATTTTTTCTTTGCCTATAAAAGAAAGTTTTAATGTTTGTATGAAGCAGAACAAGTTTGAAAAGAAATAAACTAGTGTTTATGTTCCTCATAAGTTAATATAATATTATTATTATAATTGCTAATCTTTTTAGATGAGAAAGTTAATATGCTTTACATAAAAATATTCATTTTAGATAGAAAAAAAAATCGCGTTCGGCTGCACTTAAGTGGGTCGAACATCAAATTGTAGTGGATTAAAATATCAAATGCCAAATTCACTACATGGAAATTGCTATCATACGCATACTATATCATCCATATTAATTGTATTTTTGTAATGGGTTTACTTCTTGTTTAGGATTTGCTTTTAATGCATAATAGTAAGTAATTTTAACCCTATTGAAACATCATTGAATATTAGCGTAAAGAATTTACCAATATATATATATATATATATATATATATATATATATATATACTTGAGATTTTTTTTTTTTTTTTTTTTTTTGTAATATACTTGAGATTTTTTCGTATATTATATTACTTATTACGATTCGGCATACTTGCCAGATTTTATCATATAGCTTATTTGTTTTGGTACATTGTGTTGTAAAAAAAGGAACTTATATAACGGTAAACATGTTTGTTAATTTTTTTGAGAGATCAAATTAATTATATGGTGAATAAAATTGATTATAAAATAAGTAAATATTTTCAACTTTTTCGGTGAATAGAGTTGATTCCAAGTGAGAAAATTACAATTTTTTTAATTATACTTGTATTTACACTTGAAAAAATACTTCTATTTGACCATCAAAATAAAATTGATTCTTTTAAATTCACTTTAATAACGTAGAATAATTTTTTAAACATTAATTCTTTCAATATTAATTTTTTAAAATTAATTTTACAAAATTGTAAACCAAACGTATATTCGTGGAAAGAACTTATGTTAATGGCCAAGAGTTAACTTCATAAACTCTACAGAAAATCGAGAGGACAAAAAACATGTCCCAAACAAAGTCAGAAGTTGATTGGATTCCAATCGTTCCTTTTCTGTGGGCGTAACACGGAAAGCCCAAACGGTGTTAAAATAATTTGGCATGTGGCTGGCGCTGCTAGAAAGTCCAAACGGTGTGCCACCAATTTCTTAGCATTTCTTATTACCCTTTACGCATTAAATTAAAATAATTTTTTCAAAAGCAATTTAATTTGTTAGATTATATACAAACATATAATAAGAAGTGAAATAAAATATTAAAAGAGATCAAATAAAATAAAATCGTGACATAGTAGAATAAAACTAGAGTAAAAATCCTTCTTAGTCCCTAACAAAAAATACGGTCTCCATTTTTGTCTTTTACAAATTCAAAGTGGACCCATTTAGTTGAAATCGTGGTCCCTCGAAAATTCAAAAAAGATCCATATTAGTCCCTCAAAAGGACTAAAATAGGTCCACCTTAGATTTGTTAAGGACTAACTGACTAATTTATTTTTGTATGAGACTAAAGTGGAGACTGTATTTTTTTGTTTGGGATAAAAATGGTCTTTACTCATAAAACTATTAACTATTGTAATAGTAGGATTTTATATTTCTTATATTCCATGAGAAGCAAAAGAAGTAAATACTTTCTTACTCACTTTTTGATTTTCATGTTAGCTTTTTTTTTTTTTGTAATATGTGAGCTCCATATGACTTTTTGACTATATGGCATAAGAAGATATTTCTCATATATAACATGACAAGTATAAATTCCATAATAATATAAGAAAAAATTTTATGCTTTCGTGGTAAAAACATTTCTCTAGTATACTAATTGGTGGATTTCTTTATTTTTTTTTCTCTATTGTCTTTATCACAAAACTCATTTATTTTTAACCTCAGAGAATAGCTCAGTTGTCAACTGAGTTTTCAAGAGTTTGCTTGAGTTAGGAGTTTAAATCATGTCTCAAACAAATCCTTAAAAAATCTTTGGATTCAGAGAGCGTGCCGCTCTTCTTAAAGTGGGATAGCGAAATTCAATGCCCCACTGTTCCAGTTAGGAATAGCTTCCAAGTACTCGGGTAAAAAAAAAATTATGGTGCAAAAAGCAAAAATATTAAACTCCAATAATAATAGAAAAATGTTATACTTATTATCTTTTGTTTTAATATCCTGTTAAATCTTAACCATTAATTTTTATCAATCCGACGATGATAATTTATTAAAAGTAGATGTTCAAATAAATACAATAGTCGAGAGAAGAGGAGCAACATCTTATCATTACTCAATTTCAAAGCCCTCTTTGTTTCTATATCTCGCCAAGCACTGCTTATTTCAAATCAATTTCCACTGTTTTTTTGTTTTGTCAGCGTTGGTTCGAAATCCAATCTGAACCATAATGCATTGTGCAACCATATCCTCCGCGATTCCCTTTAGTTGCTTCAGCTCCACTTCAACTTCTACTTCTACTTCTCCAACTGCAACATTACTCACTAAACGGAGATTGAAGCCTTGGCCTAAGCCTCAAATTGAAACCAAAATGTTATCTTTTCAGAGAAAAGGATCAGTGAGAGCCACCATTTCAATAGAGAAAGAAACCCCAGAAGCTGAGCGTCCCGAAACATTTCTCAAAGACACCGATGAGGCCCTTTCTTCGTCTTCGGTGAGGGCCCGCTTTGAGAAGATGATAAGGGAAGCTCAAGACAGTGTGTGCGATGCCATTGAGGTTGCTGATGGTGGGGCCAAGTTTAAGGAGGATGTTTGGTCGAGACCCGGTGGTGGCGGTGGCATAAGTAGGGTTCTTCAAGACGGTGCCGTTTGGGAGAAGGCTGGGGTTAATGTCTCTGTTGTTTATGGTGTCATGCCACCTGAAGCTTATCGTGCTGCTAAAGCTGCAGCTGATCACAAACCTGGTCCTGTTCCATTTTTCGCAGCTGGAATCAGCTCTGTCAGTAACCAAATCCCCTTTTTCCCATCAATTCAATTGAACTAGTTAGTTAGACACTTGACTCACTTTTTTTTTTTGTCTTGTTTTTCTATTCAGGTTTTGCATCCCAAGAACCCGTTTGCCCCAACATTACATTTCAATTATCGCTATTTTGAAACTGATGCTCCTCAAGGTAATACTTTATTTCTTTATTTCTTTACACAAAAACTAGGCCAGGCTCATTTGCAAGCTGCTTTTCATATTATACTAGTTTTTTTTTTGTCATATTGCACACATTTGTTCAAGGTTTTTCCTTGCTGTTGTTTGCGACTTGTTTTTTGTGTGTGTGTGTGTGTGTGCTTGAAACGGTTCAATGTTTGGATCGCATCTATAGCAGCTAATCTGATCTAACACATGGTCAAATTATGCCTTTCCAAGCTCGGTTACCTCAGGTTCAAGTTTCTAGATTTTTTTATTTATTTATTTGTCATCAGTTGCTTGTAATAAACTATGGCTGTTTATAATGCCAACTTCCCTTTTGTTTTCGCATTCTAATGGGTTAGTCTCAAAATCTTAAAACTTAACAATTCGAAGATTAATATTATCACTAAGGTATGTTAACATAAGTGCATTTTTTTTTTTTTTTTTTTTTTTTTGCGTTTGTTGCTGTTGATAGTCACGCTGTTGTATTCTACAGATACTCCTGGAGCACCTAGACAGTGGTGGTTTGGCGGGGGAACTGACTTGACACCTGCTTACATTTTTGAGGAGGATGTTAAGCACTTCCATTCTGTATGTCTTGAACACAAAATATTGGTTTCTGACATTTTATGGTTTAGAATCAACAACTGCCTTTTATTTATTTTTTTGGTGAAAGAAAAAAAAAAAAATTTTTTGTTGTTTTAATATGTCGCCTTACCCTACTGTAGTGTCTTGGTCCTTATATGAGTAGTTTTAATATTTTTGTAGTTTCAGGAGGGTTTTCTTGTATTTGGTTTATGTTGCTTGGTTCTTTTATTGAAATGTTAAGCACAGATATTAATTTCTCATGATGTTTCTATAAAAGATTTCTGCAAATGCTTGAGAATTCTGCAATCAAAGTCACTTAAAAATGTTTCTAACTTCCTATATTAGGTAGATTAAACCCCCCAAAAGGTAAACAGTTGATGCTTTCTCAAAAATCTCTTGAAAATTTATTTTGGAAACTTAGCTTGTAGTTGATTGTTACCTTCTAATCCCCGCCAAAAAAAAAAAAAAAACTTAAATATAAAAGAATGAATGAATGTAGGGCACTTGAGAAGTTCTACCAATTGATTTTCAGTTTAAATTGTATCTTTAAAATATTGATATGATATTTTATTTGTTTGAAGGCATTGAAGAGCAAGTCTTTTACTAAGTGTACTTCTATCATGCTTCTATTGTAGATTCAAAAACGTACTTGTGACAAGTTTGATCCTACTTTTTACCCCCGATTCAAGAAATGGTGCGATGACTACTTTTATATCAAGGTAACATTCTTCATCCTTTTTCACATAATGAAGCTTTTTAGTACAGTATTTGGCTGTTGTCTTAGGGCCCATTTGATAAAGCTGGAAACTGAACGAAAAAGAAGTATTAAGCATTAGTGTTTAGTTCATTAACCTTTAAGAAAAGAGTGCACCTGAATTCTTTTGCCTTTCTTTTATCATTACTTTTTGATAGACTTTATGCATGATGAATTGGAGGCTATAAATAAACTTTATACAATGCTGGAAAATGGGTAACAGCGATGTCTGTTGATGATAATGAGATGATGGGAGAGTCAAGAAGATTTGTGATGCTGGGGCAGCAAGTGCAGGAGTGCAGTGGTTTGGTGATAGTGGAATGGAGATGTTAGCGCATGAAGTATATGTGGCTGACAATATGATATAGTCTTCATGAGACTTGGGGTAGTGGTGTGAGAAGTACAATAAGTGACAAAAATCAGAAACATCTATGTTGACTATCTTGAGGCAAACTTGCAACTGTGATTATTATGACGTTTACCTGAGAATTACTATGAATAGATGGGTAATGTCTCAGATCGGTTGATTTTGTGCATGCATTATAGCTGCAAGGTTAATTTGATTTCTAAACTCATAAATTATGCCAATGAAGTTATATGGGGTAGGACCTCGTTGACAATATTGGGCTTACAAATGTGACCTTATTTATCTGTTTATACTCTGTTTTTAGTCTCGTGCTTATCAGTTGTCATGCATAGTGCTCCCATTTTGGAGTGTATCAGTTGAGTTAGTGTAACGTGTAATTAGATGGATCATGGATGCCATCTGTTACGTTAAAGGGATTAGAGTGGATTTAATATAGAGTGTGTGTGTGTGTTTTTTTTTAATTGAATTGGAGTGTACAGCATATGCTTTTGTTGATTGTTTTTCCTTATTTTCCTCGTAATTCTACATTCAGCATCGAGGTGAAAGGAGAGGGCTTGGAGGAATATTTTTTGATGATCTGAATGACTATGATCAGGAGATGCTACTTTCCTTTGCTACTGGTAATTGCTTGCACATATGAATTGATGGTTCTCACTGGAAAGGCATTTAGTTCTTTATATTTCATGCTTGCCTAAACTATGGTTGCTTGCAGAATGTGCAAATTCTGTTGTTCCTGCTTATATACCTATCATCGAGAAAAGGAAGGATTTGCCCTTTACAGATCATCAGAAAGCATGGCAACAGTTACGAAGAGGACGATACGTTGAATTCAATTTGGTACACTTTTTAACTTAGCTCTTAGACAGAAACTGAATAGTTGTTCTCTTTTTCAGATCAGGCTTAAATTTGTATTGTCAAACATTTTTTTGGCTACAGGTGTATGATAGGGGTACAACATTTGGACTAAAAACTGGAGGCAGAATAGAGAGCATTCTTGTTTCTCTCCCACTGACTGCACGATGGGAATATGATCATGTATGATTTTGGAATCTTTTTTATATCGTAAACGAGTTAAATATTAGAAACATCTAATTTTCCATTTATGAAATCGCTACTGAAATGGTGGTATCATTTTGTGTGCAGAAACCTGAAGAAGGAAGCGAAGAATGGAAACTCCTAGATGCGTGCATTAACCCGAAGGAATGGATCTAACTTACCAGTTAATCCCTGCCCCAATTTGTCAGCTTTTTTAATAATAAGAGAGCTTGTTTCTTTTTCGGTGTATATCAAGTGCTCGTTAAGATGAGTCACAACTGTTAGCTTCTACTTGGTAGATTGTAAATCACGTGTCATCTATGTAAAGCGTGAAATGCAGAAAATTACAGATGTCTAGACCGCATCTGTACCTTACCTTCTGTGCCAACCATTATTCTTAAGTACCTATATAACAAAACAAAGGCAGCTTCTTCACTCAACATTCACATTCAATCGCAGTGGTAGTTGCACACCTCTGTCAAGTTATTTAGTAATTCCGCTGAAGGGAATAAAAAGGAAGTATTGACTGAAAAATCAGTAACCACTTTATGTGAGCATCTCTAATTTCCCACATCCATTAACTTTTAGTGAACTCATTCCAACAATACTAAAACATTTCACAAGTAATTATTACAGTTAAAAAACAAAAATAAGTAATGCCAAAACCCCAAAAATTACAAAATGCATTACTCTTGCATTTCCCATTCTCCCATCAATGCATGACATGTATCTTAGTAATGCCAAAACCCCAAAAACAACAGACACAAAAATGGCATATAAAAACTCTCGATCTTGATTTAACATGTTTATCCATCGGAGGGATTCCTATCAGGCCAATCGAGGAACTTGTACCCTTGAAGAGAGGGTGGCAAGTAGCTCTGGGTTGAGGAGGGGTTGTCAGGAGGGTATATGTATCCCTTCCCATACCCAATTTCCTTCATTAATTTGGTTGGTGCATTCCTCAGATGAAGAGGCACCCCCTCATTCTGTCCCACTGATTCTCTTACCGCCTTCTGAGCGGCTTCTATTGCTCGATAAACTGAGACAGACTTAGGAGCCAAGGCCAAGTAAGCAACACACTGTGCAAGAATCACATTGCACTCTGGCATTCCCAAAAAGTGGCAAGCTTGGTAGCAGGAAACAGCCTGAGTAAGAGCTGATGGATCAGCCAAACCAACATCCTCGCTTGCAAACCTTATGAGTCTACGTGCAATGTAAAGAGGCTCTTCACCTCCTTTTAACATTCTTGCCAACCAATAGATTGCTGCATTTGCATCACTTCCCCTCATTGATTTGTGCAGCGCACTGATTAGATTATAATGCTCTTCCCCAGCTTTATCATAAGCAAGGTGCTTACACTGAAGTGCCTCCTTTGCATCATCAAGAGTAACAACAGCAGCAGCAGAGCCAACCTTGTTTTCCTCATTTGTGTTAAGATGATCCATGCCTTGTTCTTCCTTTTGATTAGGCTGCTGAACATGTTGTATCCGTGCAGCAGCAGTAACAGCAGCAATCTCCAAGGCATTCAAGGCCACCCGAGCATCCCCATCACAATTGTTAGCTATAAAATCAACAACATCCTCACTCACATTGACATCAACTTCAAAACCAACGCTTTTCATCAAACCTTTGTCCAAGTCACTAATAGCCCGGTTTATAAGCAAAGCAAGATGGTGGGGCTGAAGAGGGTTAAGTGTAAGGACACGGCAGCGAGACAAGAGAGGAGTAATCAAATGGAAAGAAGGGTTCTCAGTAGTGGCACCAATGAACACAATGCTTCCATCTTCAATGAAGGGTAAGAAAGAGTCCTGTTGAGACTTATTGAACCTGTGAACCTCATCAACAAAGAGAACAGTTGTTTGGTTGGTTTTAACCCTGATTTTTCTAGCTTCATCAACAGCATCCCTCACATCTTTAACGCCACTAGTGACAGCAGATAAGGAGACAAAGCGATAACAAGTTGAAGTTGATGAATTTACAATGGCTTTTGCAATAGTGGTCTTACCAGTTCCAGGTGGACCCCAGAAGAGGATTGAAGGGAGACGATTGCGTTGGATTGCAGAACGAAGAAGGGAATTGGTTGCGAGGAGATGCTCCTGGCCAACGACGTCGTCCAATGTTCTGGGACGCAACCTCTCGTATAAGGGTTCGTGAATGTGAGTGTGTTTCTTGTCTTGAGTCTTGGGACGATTGAAGAAGAAAGAAGAAGACTTTTGTTGTTGTTGTTGTTGAGAATGACAAGTGGATGGTAATGACTTAAGGCGTTTGGATGATGGGGTTGATTCGTCTTGTTCTTGTTCTTGTTCTTGTTGTGATTGGGGTGTGGTTGGGGATTGGGAATGGAAGAAACGATCGAGCTTTGGCTGAAATGAAGAGTTAGTGTTGGGTTTGTGAGTGAGAATCCATTCGGTGGCTTTGACGGTGGATTTGCCGCCGGTAGCAGCCAAGGCTTGTGCGGCCAACTCGTCCGGGAAACCCATGCTTAGAAGCTGTTGCAGCTCCTCCATCTTCCTTTGGGTTTGCCACTACTGATTGATGAAAATGGTGGCGACACTCCCTTTACGATAAAACACTACCCTCTAAATTCTAAAAGTCCTTTTTATTCCCAACGCCTTGATTTCTTCATCTTTTTCGCCTCAACCCTTCTTTATTCTCAAGTCTTAGAGATAGGGATGACAAAAAGCTCCACACTTGCAGGATTTATGGGATTTTACCTATATCCACTTCATAAATAGAGCCCGAGGAGAGGGATGGGTATAAATATACAAATATTGTGAATTTTTCTAAGTGTTCGACGTAAGTTATGTATTTGATTAAAAATAGATATAAGAAATGAAAATCACTGATGATAAAGTGGATAATTTTTTTTTTAATTTGAATTTTAAATATAAAATATTATTTTGTGTTTATTTTTCTTAAAATAACATGATTTTATATTATTTAAAATGATAAATATTTTTTCCTTTTTTTAAACTTTGAAATAAGATAAATTTTTTTTTATTTTTTTTTTTAATTTTGTAAGATTTTATTTTTAATTGAACGATGTCCCTAGAAGAAGTGTGATGGTTACCACTGGTGTGAGCTTGTTTTGAGAGTGAAGTAGTGTCCAAAAGGAGAATGAGCATACCATTTCCAGAACTCTGGATGGGACATTGTTCATCCACTACATTGAGTCAGAACACCCATGACACAAATGAATAGAGGGAAGCATTATTCGGTCCACCCTCCCCTGTCACGTTGCCAAAGGAGATGACGGAGTTAGAAACAGTGACAAAAGTGTCAGTAAGTTTTTTACCTAAATGTCACGCGAATAATATTATTTCTGAACATGCCATGTGTAAAAGTTCGCTGGGCATAGCGAACTCAATGCTGACATGTCGCGTTTTAAGTAGATACTAAATTGACTATACAGGACAGCGAACTTGGTTGAAATACATATTTCGACTAAATTCGTTACCATGTAGCGAACTTGATATTATTATTATTTTTTTTAACTTGTTATTTGTTATTCACTAGAAATGTGACACGTCAGCAAATGAGGTTCGCTAAAGTGCTTAGCGAACTTGTCCATGTAACATATTAAAAAATAATATTGTTCGCGTGACATTTAAATAAAAAACTTAATGAAAAATAGCATTTTGGTTAGTGTTCCACGGAGGAAAGTGTAGAACCAAAGTTTCAAACCTTGACTGTACACTTGTCAGGATGGTCTCGCGTGGGGATTTCCCTTTCAAAGATTTTTTTATTTTTTTTTGAAAAAAAGAAAGAAAGGAAAGATCCAAACACAAAAATTCCTAATTTATATGATTCTATATAAGTCAATATTTAGTGTGTATTATTTTAGTTATATAAGTCATTATTAACTCTCACTTACAGTATTGGTATTACTGATTTACTGTTATGGTGGTATGTTGAATGCTTAAGAAAAAAAAATATCTCGCTTCAAGAGTACCTAAAAATTCTTTCTGTGTAAAAACCACTTGTAAATATTTGTCAACTCCTCGACAAGGTTGTTCGCGCACCGAATTCAATCTAATCTTAAACTTTGGTTGGACTAATTTTTCAGACCAAGTTTTGTGTGTGGGGATGAGGACGATGTCTTCTCCTGTTGTTCCTGTGACCCTATCCGCACCCATACCTTCCTCTGATGCAACCCATCACATCTCAGTTAGCAATCCGAAGGAGAAGTACAAGAACACAACCCTAACAATTCGGTCTCGCCTAAGCCAACTATGCCAACAAGGGCAACCTCACCTTGCTCGGCATCTGTTGGATACTCTTCCTCGCCCTTCCACTGTTGTGTGGAACGCCGTCATCATTGGCTTCATTTGCAACAACCTGCCTCTTGAAGCTCTCCTCTTATACGCTCAGATGAAGTCCATTCCAGGTACCCATTATGATTCTTATACCTTCTCTTCAACCCTTAAGGCCTGTGCTTTAACCCACAACCTTATGGCTGGTAAAGCCCTTCATTCTCACATTATTCGCTGCCAATCCAACCCTAGCCCCAGTAGGATTGTCTATAATTCCCTCTTGAATATGTACTCTTCTTGCTTACCCACCACAATCGCCTCCCATTTCCAGCATGACTATGTCCTCAAAGTGTTCGACGTTATGCGCAAGAGAAATGTTGTCGCTTGGAATACCTTGATTTCTTGGTATGTCAAGACCGAGAGACCCCTTCAAGCACTTATCGCTTTCACCACAATGATGAAGCTCACAATTACGCCAACTGCTGTTACTTTTGTAAATGTCTTCCCCGCTGTATCCAAATTCGGTGATTATAAGATTGCTTCTGTGATTTATGGGTTGCTTCTTAAATTTGGTGCTGAGTATGTAAATGATGTGTTTGCTGTCAGCTCAGCGGTACTTATGTTTGCCGATCTTGGTTTCCTAGATCACGCAAGGTTGGTTTTTGACCAATGTTCCCGGAAAAGCACTGAGGTTTGGAACACTATGATTGGTGGGTATGTTCAAAATAACCGTCCAATTCAAGGAATCGATGTTTTCATTCAGGCCTTGGAATCAGATGAGGCTATTTGCGATGATGTAACTTTTCTGTCTGTTATTACTGCTGTTTCACAGCTACAGCAGATAAAATTGGCCGAGCAGCTACATGCATTTGTTCTAAAGAGTTTGACAGTTTTACCAATTATTATTCTCAATGCAATAATTGTTATGTACTCAAGGTGCAATTATATTGATACATCGTTTAAGGTTTTTGATAAGATGTTCGAAAGGGATTCTGTTTCATGGAATACAATAATTTCTGCCTTTGTACAAAATGGTTTGGATGAGGAAGCACTGATGCTTGTGTGCGAGATGCAGAAGCAAAGGTTTATGATTGATTCTGTGACCGTGACTGCCCTTCTTTCTGCAGCTTCTAACCTTAGGAACTCATATATTGGAAGGCAAACTCATGCGTATCTAATTCGCCATGGGATACAATTTGAGGGAATGGAGAGCTATCTGATAGATATGTATGCAAAATCCAGCTTGATTAGGACTTCTGAATTGTTATTTGAGCAGAACTGCCCAAGTGTTAGAGATCGGGCCACATGGAATGCAATGATTGCTGGTTATACTCAGAATGGGCTCAATGAGAAAGCCATTCTCATTCTTAGAGAGACATTAATGCACAAGGTAATGCCTAATGCAGTGACCTTAGCATCAATTCTCCCAGCTTGTAGTTCAATGGGAAGCATAGCCTTTACTAGACAACTTCATGGATTCTCCATTCGTCATTTCTTGGACCAAAATGTTTATGTCGGAACTGCTTTAGTTGACACGTATTCCAAATCAGGTGCAATCAGTTATGCTGAAAATGTTTTTGTCAGAACACCTGAAAAGAATTCAGTCACATACACCACAATGATGATGAGCTATGGTCAGCATGGGATGGGAAAAAGAGCTCTTACCTTGTATGATACTATGCTGAGATCTTGCATTAAGCCTGACGCAGTTACTTTTGTTGCCATCTTGTCTGCTTGTAGTTATGCCGGTTTGGTTGATGAAGGCCTTCAAATATTTAAGTCTATGGAGAAAGTACATAAAATTAAGCCCTCAATCGAACATTATTGTTGTGTTGCAGACATGTTAGGGAGGGTTGGAAGGGTAGTTGAAGCCTATGAGTTTGTCAATGGATTGGGTGGGGACGGTGATGCAATGGAAATCTGGGGATCTCTTCTTGGGGCTTGTAAAAATCATGGGTACTTTGAATTGGGAAAAGTTATTGCTGAAAAGTTGCTTAATATGGAGACAGGAAAAGGGATGGCAGGATATCATGTTTTGCTCTCAAATATTTATGCAGAGGAAAGAGAGTGGGAAAATGTTGATAGATTGAGAAATCAGATGAAGGAAAAAGGTTTGCAAAAGGAAATGGGATGTAGTTGGGTTGAGATTGCTGGGTTTGTGAACTGCTTTGTATCTAGAGATGAGAAGCACCCTCAAAGTGGTGAGATATATTACATCTTGGACAAGTTGACTATGGACATGAAGGATGTAGGTTATAAGCCCCGTTACGGTTCAAATTTAAATATGATTTTGGAATCTAATGAATGAAATGAATAATTTATGGCAGAATTTTTCAAAGCGAGCTCTGTTTGCTTTATGGTGGGCCGTTGTCAGGAAAGTGAGACAATAGTCACCGGATTGATTATAACTGATAATAGTGTCATGACCGGCATAAGTTTATCCAATATACAAATGACTAGAACTGCTGGTTTGAAACTAATAATTAGGCTGGTCATTCATTTGAAACAGAATATCATTGATGTACAAAACAACCAATTCATGTACAGTATGATTGTGCAGCTGGATAGCGACAAGTTTGATCCTTCTTTTTACCCCCGATTCAAGAAATGTTGTGATGATTACTTTTATATCAAGGTTTATAAATTATAATCCTTCAGCTCAGACTTCTACACATAATGTACCGTTTTAATACAGCATTCGGCTGCAGTCTTAGGGTGTTAGGAGGTCTACTCGTGTGAAGAGAGGTTCTATTCTGTTAGATGGGTATGTAGTGTGAGTGGCACGTGAGGAGTTTAGTGAAGCATGTAAAGTGTACAGTGAGGTGTTGTACAATTAGGAAGTGAGGGATTCCGGATTCGCTGTCAGTGTTAGAAGCTAGTTCATACTTGTGATATAAAAGAACTTTGTAAACCCATTGAAAGAATCATCTGAATAAATCTGAAAACCCATTTTTCGTTCTCTGTTCTTTGTCTCTTAGGGGTAAACCCTAACATAGGGCCTGTCCGATAGAACTGAAACTGAACAATTAAAAGCAAGTACGAAGCATTGAGTTCGTTAAGCTTTATTGAAAGAGTACACACGAACTCTTTTATGTCTGTTATCATGAATTTTGATAAACTTTATACATGATGAACTGGACGCTGCAATAAACATGAAACCGATGGTTGTAAATGGGAAACAGCAACGTTTGTTGTTGAGATGATGGAATGGCAAGAAGATTATTGATGCTGGGACAGCAAGAGCAGGAGTGAAGTGATATGATGATATTGGAGATTTTGTCGCATTAAGAAGCCTATGAGGTTAATAATATGACAGGAGACTTTGGGTTGTGGTGTGAGAAGGAGGTAGAAAGTCAGAGACATCTATCTTGATGCTACCTTTCAACTTTGATTATTATAAAGTCTTATTCCTGAGCATTCCTGTGAATAGATAGGATGAATCTAGTAGTCTGAATTTTTTGTAAACATTGTAACTGCTGTGTTCATTTGATTTCCAAACGCAATGCAAATGTAGCCCAATGGAGGAAGACCTTTTTTGCTACGACATATGGGGTAGGATTGGGACCTTATTGACAACAACTTTGGTCTTGCAAAATGTATCTTTATTAGTTATTGAGTTATATTTCTCTCATTTTTATATGAGAATAGCCAAATTCCTATATATACAAAATACTGATGGATTTTATCTCTATTTTTTTCTCTCCTCTTTCTTATGAATCTCGCTTATAATAGTGTCTCTGCTGGATAATGATTTCCTCAGTTATTATATCTGTTTTAGTCCCTTGCTTAGTTGTCTTGCACGGTGCTTCTATTTAAGAGTACACCAGTTGAGTCAATATCACGTATAATTAGATGGACGCCTTCTGTCACTTTGTATATTCTTACCGCTTATGCAAATATCTATCATTAAATATTCTACATGAATAAAAATATTTACACATCAGTTTTACATGATTTAATGTTATATAATAAAATTAAAAAAAGGCATACATTATTGAGTTTTCTCCTTTCACATGAGATAACATTTCATTCCTACACATACATCGACTTCCGTGTCAAGTTTTTATTTTTGTTTTTACTTTTTTTTAAATTGCTGGTCCCACTTTTTTGTCTCATTAGGAGACAACTCTTCTCTCCTTTTAAAGGAGAAAAGTATTCCCCTACATTATTACATTACAACACATTTTTTTATTTTCAAAACAAGTATAAGCATGACACATTATGCGCATGCTTACAAGGATAAATGCAAACCTGACACATTATATAATGGGCAGATATACTTACTACCAAAAAGGTTTATCATTCTTATAACTAATTTAATCACCGTTAATTTCTGTAAATTTAACAGTTATAATTTATTAAAAATTAATAATTAATTAATAAATATGATACAATAAATATTATTAATTTTCAATAGATAATATCTGTTAGATTGACGAAAATTAACGGTAATTAAATTGATTGTAAAAGTAATAAATATTTTTGGTAATAAGTGAATTTGTTTCCATTATATAATCAATTAAACGTCCCCCCAAAAAAAATGTTATAAACCGGTTTATGGTTAAATAGCGGTCAACTGAAAGCGGTGTTCAGATTAACGGGTCAATAAGGTTTATCTTCATCGGGTTCACAGTCGAATTTTGAGTACCATCGGTAACCTAATTTCATTTTCTAAATGATCCCAGGTTGCAAAAACAGGGAGGAGAAACCGACAGAGAGGGCGAGATGTGTAATGTAATGTAATCATGCAAGGGAGGCTTGGGTGGTTGCCACGTAGCCATGGCATCGCTTCACGATTTTTCTGTTTTTACAAAACCTGTCTGTTCTTTGTAGTTTTGTTGCCCATCTCCCACCCACCGACAATCCCAAATCTGATGAAATTGGCGGTTCTGACATACATTATCATCTTCCTCTGCTTCTTTTTCTCTCAGCTCAATTCAACAATTTATAGTCCTGAGTCCCTTGGAATCTTAACTGATCCATCAAGTTATTTCAGTTGAAAGAGGAGAAGAAAAAAAGAAGAAGATGATGGTGTTGGGGTTAATCCTGTACAGTGTATTGGATTTGGCGGTTGCTGGGGTGTCCTTGATGGTTGGTCTCTGGTTTTTTTCTTTCATCACTTTCGTTCTAAGCTCTGTTGCATTCTTGCACAACTCCAAGTATGTCTCCTGAATTTTGGTACCCACTTGCTTTGTCCCTGCTTTAATTTTGTGATTACTCTTTTAGTTTGTTACGATCGAGCCTCTTCCTTAAGGGGGGTTTAATTTGGTTATTTGTTTGTTTACTTTTCATTTCTCATATGCTGTTCCTTCTTATTTTACGTAATTGGTATCTAGTGAAGTCCGTGGGTTTGACATTTTTTAATCTTCAGCTGTAGTTGAAAAGAATCACTATTCCTTTTAGTTGCTTAGTGTTTGTAAGAATGTTTACTTGACATTGGATCAAAAATAAAATTTAAAAAAATGTTCTGCCTTCTTGAAAACTGTTTGATTCGCACTAAATTTTCGTTCAGTGGTGAAGATACTACATATGAATGGAGAAAGACAATTAGGGAGGGGAATTATTAAAAGAAACTACACCCTAAAGCACTTCCTCTCTGAAATCTAAAATTAGAAAGGTTTAAGTTCAAACTTCTACCTATTCGATAGAACTAAAACTGAACAATTAAAAGGAAGTACGAAGCATTGGGGTTATTAACCTTTAGTAAAAGAGTATACACGAGTTATTTTCTGTCTGTTATCATGAATTTTGACAAACTTTATACATGAACCGGACGCTGTAATAAACACGAATCCAATGATTCTAAATGGGTGACAGCGACTGTTGTTGATGAGATGGAATGGCATGAAGATTATTGATGCAGGGACAGCGAGAGCAGGAGTGAAGTCGTATGATGATATTGAAATTTTGACCCATTAAGAAGTCTATGATGCTAATAATATGACAGGAGACTTTGAGTTGTGGTGTGAGAAGGACAATAAGTTGCAAAAAGTCACAAACATCTATCTTGATGCAAGTTTGTAACTTCCTTGTGATTGTGAATAGCTAGGATGTGTCTAAGAGTCTGAATTTGTTGTAAACATTGTAACAGCTTTGTTCATTTGATTTCCAAATGCAATGCAAATGTATCCAATCCATATGGAGTAGGAGTTGGAACTGATGGACAATATTGGGTTTGGGTTAACAAAATGTACCATTATTAGTTATTATATCTGTTCTAGTCTCTTGCTCGTTAGATGTCTTGCACACTTCTCCTATTTTGGGGTATACTACTTGACTCAATACCATGTGTTATTAGATGGATGCCTTCTGTCACTTGGGATACTCTCATCGCAAAGTGTTAGGATAAAATTACCTTTTAATGATATTATTATTTTGATAGTTTTAATTTTTATCGTGTACTTTAACGGATTGTTGAGTTGATTAATCAAAGGGGGATCCACTTTTTTTTTGGAGATACAATGGAAACTAAAACAAAAACCTAAAAGAAACTGGAGGTCATAACCCCCATTCTATCATTATAGACCAAGGACTCACACCCTTGAGGAGGACTATGAAAAATCTTGACTTGCACATTCTGACTCAAGTGATGCTTCGTAAGCCAATCTGCTACTTTGTTCCCTTCCCGCAGAACATGAAGCACTCTCACAGACCAAGATCTATGAAAAAGCTTCTTAATATCATTAACTAATGGCAATAATGGATGATCTTTATCACATTGTTGAAGCAGTTGCTGCGCAGCTAAGGAATCTCCTTCAAGAATTATTTTCCTATAGCCATTCACCCAAGCCAGATTAAGACCCACGAGCATACCCCAAAGCTCAGCTGTCACAGTATTTCCAGCACCCAATCTCTTATTAAACCCGATCAGCCAAATACCAGAGCTATTTCTAATGACTCCTCCACAAGTAAAGAGACCCTTATACCAGTAGCTCCATCAACATTTAGTTTCACCCATCCCTGAGGGGGAGTACCCCATTTAACCACTCTAGGCCGTAAATAATGCAGCCCACCAATCCTAAGATTCAAATTTGATTCCACCATTCTTTCCACAGAACACCAAATCTGAGACAGCAAAGCATGCGCAGGACTAGTTTTATCTTGGAAAACAAGACTATTCCTATCCTTCCAGATTTGCCAAGCTGAAACACCAAACACCAGAGGCCAATCAAACCGGTTTGAGATACCTGCATTAGAAGAGAGATTAAAAGATAACTAGTTAGTGAGATTAAGAGATACAAAGGTATCCCATTGTATAGGATGAACAAGAGAGCGCCAGATCTGTAACACCCTTGGACAGCTTCTAATAGCATGAAGAATATCTTCCCTGTGTGCCATACATCGAGGGCAAATATCACTCTCAGCCATATTTCAATCCGTTCGCGTAGCATTAGTGAGCAAACTGTTACTCATCATTAACCAGAGGAAGGTCTTGATACGCGGTGACCCATCCCAACTCCAAATTTTCTTCCAATGCTGCCCATGATTAGCTTCATCAGTTGCTGTGATAAGATTATAAGCCGAACGAACTGAGAAACAACCATCCCCAGAATCCTTCCAAATTACTTTATCCTCTTGGTCCACCAAAGTTGGAGCCATGATCCTAGCAATATTATAATTCACTTCACTAGGTAGCAGATGAGTAAAAGCTGCCCAATCCCAAACTCCTTGCTGCGTAACATAATTAGCAACAACCAGTTCCCTATCACCATGATTAAGAGGATAAAGAACCAAATCTTCAAGAGCCCCAAAGCCAAGAACCCAACTATCAGTCCAAAATTTACAATGTTGTCCATTACCCAAAAGGATTGAAGAACCATCTATCACATCCTGCCAAACATTCATAATTCCTCTCCACAGGTTCGAAGACTGCTGAGGCTTATTCATGGTTGGAAGCAAACCATCTTCAATGTTATATTTCGCCCGAAGCACCTTATTCCAGAGATTATCCTTATGAGTCACTAGGCCATGCCTTATTTTCATGAACAAGGCCTTATTCATATCACGCATATTCCTGAACCCTAATCCACCAAAATCCTTTGGCTGACAAACCCGATTCCAAGCAACCAAGATGAGGCTTTCTAGTTACCGGTGATGAACCCCAAATAAACTTCCTCGTAATTCTATCCATATCATCACAAAGAGACACAGGAAGGAAGCTAGTCTGCATTGGATAAATGGGAATAGATGATAAAACTGCTTTTGCCAATGTCACCCTACCAGCTAAGGACAAGGATGATTGGGACCAACTTGATAGCCTGTCTCTCAATCGATCCATAACATAGCTGAAAGTAGATCTACCAACTCTCTGATGATGCAAAGGAAGTCCAAGGTATTTACCCAAATCAGGTGTTATACTAAAACCTATAGCTTCACACACCTCATTAGCTTTAATATGACTAACATTTTTCGAAAAGAAAACTCGACTTTTTTCCTTACTAACCTTCTGCCCAGAGGAGGCACAAAAACAGTCTAGAATATTAGATATGATATTAGCTTGATTCACATCTGCTTCAGCGAACAATAACAGATCATCCGCAAAGAATAAATGAGATATAGGAGGGCATTTTCTATTGAGGTAGATAGGCTTCCAAGCTTTCTGATCCACTGCAAGCTGAATCATATGAGCTAATCTTTCTACACACAAAACAAACAAGTAGGGAGACAACAGATCCCCCTGTCGAAGACCTCTTGAAGGCTTAAACTCTTTAGTAGTAGCTCCATTCCAAAGCACATTCATAGTACAAGTGGACACACAACACATTATTAAGGAGATTATATTCTCAGGCAAAGCAATATCCCTTAAAGTATCTTCTAAAAATTCCCAACTGATTCGGTCATATGCCTTTTCCAAGTCCAGCTTTACTGCCATCCAACCTTTTTTCCCCTTCCTACTTCTCATCGAGTGAATTATTTCTTGGGTGATAATAATATTATCCCTACTATGCCTACCCTTCACAAAACTACACTGATTGGGCAACACAAGATTCGGCATGTGCTCCTTAATCCTGTTAGCAACAAGCTTTGTAATCACCTTATAAGTCACATTACACAGACTTACAGGTCTAAACTGAGTTATCTTCTCTGGGTTATCAACCTTTGGGATTAAACAAATCAAAGTTTGATTAATGTTCCGAACAGAATAAGGCTGTTGGAAAACTTCATTAACCAGATTAATGACCGAATCCCCTACAACATGCCATTGAGATTGAAAGAAAGCAGCATGCAGACCATCTACCCCTGGAGCTTTAAAAGGACCCATACTATCAATCACAGCTTTGATCTCATCCCTACTTGGAGAAACACCCATCCTTTCCAACATAGACATATCAAGTCTTGGAAAAACCCCTTTAATAGGAAAGACTTGCCTTCGAGACTCCTCCTCAGTGTAAAGATTGGTATAAAAATTAACTGTTAAGTCCACAATTTCCTTATCATCTCCAACCCAATCACCAGCATCATTCCTCAACATCTCAATACGATTTCTTCTCCGTCTAGCTGCTGTAATTGAATGGAAAAACTTGTTATTTTTATCTCCAAAGGCTAACCAATTACTCCTTGAGCGTTGGAACCAAGTGAGTTCCTCTCTAAGATAAATAAGATCAAGTTTCTTCCATAATTCCCTTTGCAACTGCTCCAATGGATCATGGCCACACTGATTAAGCTGATTATCAATACCACGAATCCTAGCATGAAGATTAGCCTTCTCACGAGCCTCAGCCTTGAAAATCTCTCTGCCAATCTGAAGCCTGTTGCTGAAATTTATGGCAAGCCACATTCCAATTCAGATTATTATTCCAGCACAATTTAACCACCTCATCAAAGTCACCACTAGTTAGCCAAGCTGCTAAAAACCGGAATAGCTTAACAACATTTTCAGCCCTATAAGGATGCCCATCCCAAAGTAGAATAGGTCGATGATCAGAAGAATAAAATGAAAGATGATTCACCAACCTGTCAGGAAAAGTAATATTCCAAGCCTCATTTGAACACAACCTATCAAGTCTTTCTCTAAGAGACCCCTTCCTTCAAGTAAAATTAGGCCCCTTATGACCAGCATCAAACAACTTACAATCATCCAAGCAATCCTTAAATTCATTCATAACACCCCAACAAGGATCGCCACCCCATGTTTTTTCTGAATAAGTTAAGTAAGAGTTAAAATCACCCATCACTGCCCAGGGTATAGAAGATTGAGGACACAACAGACGAAGATTATCCCACAAAATTCTACGATTCACACGATTCGGGCTCCCATAAATAAACGTCATTTCTTCATTTTTTTTCCTCCAGTTTCCATGATAATTTAGCATGAACATACTGGTGATGATTATCCAAAACCTGCACTCCAACATCCTCATTATTCCACATAAGCCAAATGCCCCCTGAGTAACCTACTGCACTCCTTATATAGTGATTATGAAACCCAATACTCTTTATTACTCGATCAGTTCTTTCACCATTAATCCTAGTCTCAAGAAGAACCAGTAACTTAATACGATACTTTCTAACAATATCACGAAGAAGGGGACAAAGTCCTTTCCTCCCTGCCCCCCTTACATTCCATACACAGACTATCATTAAAAACCAGACAGAATTGGGGCAATAAGATGGTTTGAAACCACCGACCTGAGTTCAGTGTGAACTGTGATGCCACCCAAGGTGACAATTTCCTCTGAAGAAAGCATTCCCTTATGAGATTGTTCATATTGACGCATAAGCTCCAAAGCATCCGGTGGTTTCTTCTCCTTGCTACTTTGGACATCGTGTTGCTGAACATTCTTCATAGGACTCTGCCCTAAGTGATTCTCCACACGGTTTCCATCCGACGACAAGAAAATAACCCCACGGTCGGATTTCATAGGTCTTTGGACAATCATCCAACTCCCAAATGCTTCTCCATCAATCTCCACTCGCTTCCTACACTCTCCAGTAGCATGCTGTGGACCATGTCCCAAATCCTTTGCTTTTTCCCCTGCATTGATATACTTGGACAACTATCTTTCCTATGACCAAATCTTCCACACTTAAAACAAATCATGTGTAATCCCTCATATGCAACTTGACACATACGCCCATAAATATTAAATTTGGACAAAAAAGCTTTTCGCAAATCAACCTCAACACAAATTCTGGCAAATCTTCCCCCTGTGTTATTTCCCCCTCACCTACTTCACAATGCTTAATAGAATTCTGATCAATTTTAAGTGGTTTCCCAAACATACTTCCAATTCTCCAGAGATGCTTAGACGTATATAACTCAATAGGAAGACCAGGTATTCAGATCCATATAGTAAGCTTTTTAACAGAGTCATCAAACGGATCAAAAAACGGTCTCCATCGTTGTACAGTTACATAGTGATCAGCGACCACCCAAGGACCCTCATGCAGTACATGAGTATAATCCTTCTCATTACTGAATCTGACAAAGTAAAAATCATTCTCAAGATCAATGAACTCATGAGCACCAGTTAAACCCCACATCTTCTGAAGTCTAGTTGTAAAGAACTTCGCTCCCAACCTCTTCCCCAGTAATTTAACTATCAGTGTATTTTCCCACTGTTTACAATTCTCCTTGTATTCCTCGGCTGGAAAACTATACGTAGGACAGAAAGGATCATCTTCCCCAATCTCCACTTGCCTCAACTTTGCTTCTAGGTCTTCCTCATCCTTTTCCAGCTTTGATAACCAATCATTCTCCACATTGTCTACTTCTCCCCAATTCCCATTAAACCACATTAAGCTATCCTTATAAGAAATCACCTTCCTCTGTCCAGCTTCTATCTCAGCACCCTCCACCATGGCAACCTCCTTCGTTTTCTTAATACTTCTTTGGAGAAGATCCTCCTCTTCCGTCGTAGAAGCTTGAATATCCATGACAAGAACACCTCCAGCCATTGCTCACTATTTTGAATCTTTGAAGATGAAAATAAAGACCTCTCTTAGATCTTCTAAACTCTGGCTCTTAAGCACTAGATGGTGTATTTAGTAAAAGATAGATTAAAATGTGTAAAAAAAAAAAAGGGGGGGGGGGGGGGATCCACTTCAACAACGCCTCCGTCTTACATCTAAATACATAAATTCTCATAAGGGGTCAGTAATTAATTGTTGCAAGGAGTAAAAATGTAAAATCTTGCAACTTTTTTCCTCTTCAACAGAAATATCTATCATTAAACATTCTCCATGAACACCAATATTTAAACATCAGTTTTCCATGATTTCATTTTAGATAATAATAAAAAACAACATACATTGCAACTTTTTTTTTTTTTTTCAAAACAAGTGTAAGCATGACTTATTATGTTCATGGTTACAACTTACAAGGATAAATTCAAACCTGACTCGTTATATAATCAATTAAACGTTCCAAATGAGAGCTGGAACACCCACCTTCACTTAATGTCTTCTTACTCTTTTCACTCATCTCCTTCACTTTCTTCCTTATCTCTCCATCTTTCTCCAACACACTCCTTATTCCTCTTTCTATCTTCTCTCCACTCAAAACATAGTTACTTCCAGTCCTGAAGTCCACCCGATAATCCACCGCAATTTCCACAGCCATCTTCAGCTCTCGCACCAGTTCAAATGCATTTGTCTGTTGTTCGGCATGGAGCGGCCACGTGGCAATGGGCACACCGAAATATATGCTCTCAAGGGTAGAATTCCAACCGCAATGAGAAACAAACCCTCCTGTGGCTGGATGGGCCAGAACTTGGGCCTGAGGGGCCCATCCAAGTACCCTTCCAATCCCTGCCGTCCGATCTAAGAACCCTTCGGGTAAAACCGCAGCCAAATCGGAAGGAGAGTAATCAGACGGCGATACCATCCTGGAAGTAGAACCCTTTGGTGGGGGTTTCCGTATGGACCACAGGAAGCGGGCCCCACTGCTCTCAAGGGCACGCGCGATCTCTCTTATCTGATCATCATCCAAATAACCCATGCTCCCGAAGCAGAGGAATATTACCGAGGCATGAGGTTGATCATCAAGCCACTTGAGAATTTCAGAGTGAGACTCAGTGACTTGGTCACCCTTAGCCTTAGGGTTTAGTATGGGTCCCACTGGATATATGGGTACACCACTACCAGAAAATGAGTGAACCGCATGGGATTCTAGCTCCTCAAATGAATTTACAATGATACCACTGGCTTCCTTCAGCCCTTTCCCAAAGCGCAAGAAAACTGTCTCCCATTCCTTCTGTAGCACCAAAGAAGGCATAGCCTTCGAAGGAACCGGGTTTACGAAACTCGGAATGGCCAACTCAGTGTCCGATTCCTCCAACTCGCTGATGTCCACGTTGTCTCGTTCCCTGAGAGTGTGAAGATGAAGCATCAGACCAAGAAAAGCAATACCGGAAGTGAAAAACACCAGCGTAGGGACCCCAAACTCTTTGGCTACATCGATCATGGTTGTGCAGAACATGTCAACCACGAACGCGGCGAGTTGCGGTTCCGAGTCGGAGCGAGTGAGGTTGGACACAACTTCTTTAACGTTGGGTTTCTGGTCATCAATGAAGGTGTGCTTGGAGGGACCATCAGAGTTTGTGGGAACGTGACATTCAGGGAGGTTAATAACCTTGACACGTTCATAGGAAGCTAGGGTTTCTGTGTAAGGACCGGTTGTGGTGTCAAATGGTAACTTCATGACCAAGACAGTGACCCAGATACGGTCGTCACGGTTGACGAGAAGCTTCACGAACTCAATGGTGGACACAAGATGACCCACACCAGGGGAAGGAACAAACACAAGTTGGGCATCTTTCTTCATCATGGGCATGGTGGTTACTGGTAGTGGTGAGGGATGGAGTACACTGAAAACTCAGAGACTTTGAAGAGAGCTTGGGAGCAGAATATAATTAATTGAGTAACATTTAATATTACTCAATTATCTATGAAAGAGACACCTCAACGGGGGAGGAAAGACGTATGTGAGTTGCATATAGGATATATTTCTCTCATTTTATATTAGATAAATAATTTTCTTATGACTCACCCTTTTTTTTTTCTCTCTTTCTTAGATGGGTCTCACTTATAATTTTATTTTTACAAACATGAGATAATTACTTTTCTACGACATAACAAAAAATTTTCCCGAGCATAATAATGTGTACGGATCCCCCCGATATGGGACCGGAGATACACGTACACCCATTCAATCTCTTGTGCTTAAATTGTTTTGAGTCCGAGTCAAAAAATTATAAGTGTATTCACTTTTTTTAATTTTATTTAGTTCATATCATAATATATTTAAATTGGAGAAAAGTTCGTTTACAATTTTTTTTACAACTTTTTGTAAATTATATTATATACTTCCGGAAGTACATAGAGTACCCTAGTGTACTTCCGGGAGTACATAGTATAATTTGTAAGAGTTTGTAAACAAAAAATTTGTAAATATAACCTTTCTCATTTAAATTATATTAAATACAGAGCACCTGAATATGCAGTACCAAGAAGAATTATAATTTTATTAAATATTTTTTAATTTTACTAAAAATATTTTTTTTTAAAGTGAAAACGAACACATAATGACATACCCTAATACAACTTACTCAATTCTCTTATAAAAAAATATTTTAAGTTTTAGATAGGGCCAAATTATAAATTGTAGCCCGGGTCAAATTATAATTTTAACCTAAGCCAAATTATAATTAGTTATATAATTGGGTTCGCTTTTTCTGCAGTAAGCTCAATACGACGTCGTTTTGAGACGGAAATCATGGTGTTTTTGTAATTTCAATTTTTTTCAGGGTTATGATAGTCTTTATATTTATAATTTTTTAAGATTTTTCAATACCAAAATGACGTTGTTTTGAGAATGAATGCAGATAACTTGTCAGCATTAACTGCAGAAACATTTTTTCCTATATAATTATATATAATCAGTATAATTTATTAAAATTTAGCCCGGGCCGAGGCCACATCCACAATGAACGTGGCTCCGTCTCTGATCGGATCGACTCAGAAATCGGTGAACAGGTCATGTAACCGGTGAACCGGTCATGTAATTGGTCTTGTTTTCGTATTGGACCGATCATGTTACAGAATCAGTGTGATCCGGTGCGACCCGACCGATTTTCATAAAAATCGATGATCCGGTCCGGTCTATAAAAAAAACTAATTTATTTTCATCAATTGATATCTTTTTTTTTTTTTTACTTTCAAACACAGATGGTTTATTTTCTTTTGAAATATTTGAGTGATTTGTAACTTATTAACTTACATAGATTATGTATCTACAACATTAATATTATCTTGATTATGAAATACGCATGAAATTTTGATTTGATTTATAGTTAGAGATGACATTTACTAAACCTGAGACACTAGTACACAGATATTATATGTTTGACTGATCTTTTGTTAGACAATGATGTATAATTTATTATTTTCATATTAAAATATTTGAAATTGGTATTATTTTTTTACAAGTATTTAAGTATATTTATAGTTTTTTAAATATAAATTGTAGATTTACATATACTTACCGGGTCATGCGGTTGAACCAGTGACCCACGAGTTGAATTGGTGACCCAGTGACCCAGTACCTCGATCGGGTCAATAACCGGGCCGTGTTTAATAGCATTGGCTTTGGGAATACATTCCCAAAGTTACTTTCTCATTGGATAAAATGGTGCATTAAATTTTATCGGAGGAAGGATGAGATCAATTCTCTTATCTAAGGATGTAAATGGGCAGGCTGATTTGGCCTGACCGACAGATCTATATTTGGCCTGGCCTTTCTGAAAAAATAGAGTAGACTTAGGCTTAGGGCATGTTTGGTGCATAGTATAAGATAAGACTTGATAGTATAAGACCTTATTAAATTTTAATATTATTCAGCGTTTGGTATGATATTGTATAAGATAATATCCTCCAATAATTTAAAATATTAATATATTAAAAAAATTATTTTAATATATAAACATTGAAACGATATATTAGTTCTTGGGAATTGTACTTGTAAGCAATATTAATACATAAATCCATTATCAGGCCAAATCCACCACTCCTAGGCCTGATTAAGTTATACATTATTTTGATGTATAAAGAGATCATGCTGTATAAGCTTATACTGTTTGATGGTCATACCAAACAACTGAAAATGTTATAACGTATAGTATAAGCTTATACTATCAGGCCTTATACATCACACTAAACATGCCCTTAAAGAAAAGCCTTTTTAACAAATAGTCTATAGACTAACTTTTTCAAGTCTAGCCTAAAGTCTTGTAGGCTGACCTATTTAATTTTTTAAAATAATATAAATAATATAATATATTTTAAAATTACTTTAAAATAATTTTTAAAGTAATTGTATTTTCTTCTTATTTTTCTCATTTCTTTGACTCTATTCCTTTTCGATATACATTCTAGAGCTGCGATATTATGTTGACTCTTTTTTGTTTGTCATTTTTTATTTCTTATGAGAAATGTCAGTGCATGAACTTCCTTTGATCTGTACAATTATTTTCTTTGCTTTGTATCTTCATTGGGAGGCCTATAAGGCCTGTAGGCCATATCAAACTTTATAATTCTTAACAATAGGCCAGATTTGACTTATAAATAAGGCCTTTAACATGACAGATAGGCTGAACATCAATTTACATAGGCTTAGGCCAAGAAGGCTAAAGTCTGACTTAGCTTAGCCCATTTTCACCCCTATCCTTATCGATTCCTTTGTCCAACAAACTTTTGTGAAGTCAGTTGTCCGCTGAGCTACCTTTGAGATTTGTGTACCGAATTTTTTATAAAGGGTTTAATGTCTTTTAAATTTATGTGGCATTCACTGTTTTTTTAGGGGCCGGCTGAACTCATTATAAAATGTGCCTTATCTATATATAATAGAGAGAGATATCAAATCCTTTTCTTTATAATTTTTAAAAAAATAATAATACCATACGTTTTTTGAAATGATTGAAATTAATATATACTTTTTTTGAAGCACTTAAATATGATGTCGAAATCTGTGATAAACTGATAATTGCTATATAAGGATAACCAGATTTTTTCACACAGGTTTATGGAGAGTATCTTTTAAGCAGAAAAACATGTAGTTTTTCGAAACATTCATTCACTTCCAAATATTCCTCACCAACTATGAGGTCTTTCAATTTAGTCCCTAAATTATATTAACTTCTCTCAACCATTTCTTCTGTCTAATTAATATCAGTTCGATTTTTTTTTTCCACTATTTAAAAACGATGGTTGTGAGTTCAGAGAAATAAATAATCTTTGCCTTATTTTTTTTATTTCAGTATTTCAAAAGAGACAATCTTTGCCTTATTTGTTGTCGGGAATCGATAATAGGGCATTGACTTATCCGTATATGCGAATATAGGGAGGTATTTATAAAATAGGTTTTATGTTTATCATGTAACATAACACAACTTTACTTTCTTACACATATATTAAAGAGGTGGGGTCCACATATTTTTCTTTCTCTTTCATCATTTCACTTTCTCTCTCTTTTATTGTGTTGTTAGAAACAACACTTAAATCATGTAATATAACATTAATAAAACTCTTATAAAATTTTATAAATTATATTATGTCTGACTAATCATATTTTATTTAACAGTATACGATTGATCATATTTAATGTAATTTATAAAAAAAAATTATAAATAGATTTTTTTTCATAAAATATTCTTTTATGGATTTTTTGGAAGCTTATCATCAGACCTTGCGTTCCCGGGTCAAGAACGCAATTGGGACTGGACGACGAGGTGGGATGCGTCTGCCTGCCATTGTCAATTGATATGGACCACGGGAACGAGAAAATAATATCATGAAATCTTTCTACATAAAATAACAAATGTTACATAGAAAGGCATGGATCTTGTTTTTTTTTTTTTTTTTAAAAAAAATTCATTTGAATTAAAGATATGAAAGGCATGAATCTTGTTAATAGAAAGGCATTAATCCGATTCAGAGGTAGTCACAAAATGAAAAATTTAAATTCGATATTGAAAAAAATTGAATACATATATCCTTATTTCATCACCTTAGTTTTATGGTGCCAATTGAATTAAAGATATGAACCTTTGAATTACAATGGCACCACCTTGCAGTTGAACCGGATCCATGGACCACATCATTTTTTCAGGCTTGTGATAATTAATATATGCATTTAGCGGTTGAATAATCAATATTATTTTAAAACATGTGCTAATCAGCCTATATGGACCGTATACTTTTTTCAGGCTTTTGATAATTAATATATGCATTTAGCGGTTGAATAATCAATATTTTAAGACACGTGCTAATCAGCCTATATTGGACACTATAACTTTTTCACCAAAATTTATGGACTGTAGTTTTTTCCGGTAAATATAGACGGCATTTTTTATTTTATTTTTTCTAGAAAAGACGGAATTTTTTAACCGTGAATTAGTATCACATTGACTCATGGGTAGAAGTGAAAGTGGGTTGAGTTGGGCTGAGTTGATCTACAGGGACCTGCGTATTAACCTATATCAGGTCGGATTTGCCCTATTACATATAGTCAAATAGAACAGACACAGATTTTTAAAGAAGCATATTTAGAAAGTAGGTGATGGACTTTTTTTTACATGCCGAGTTTATAATCCTACGAGCCAGTCTACATCATATTATTTATTCTAAATTAAATAAAACAATATTATTCATAATAGCAGTGGCGGACCCAGAAAATATTATTTATTTCTGCACATTTAATGATGGGGATTCGGGACAGTGCCCCCTAAATTTTTTTAAAAGAAAAATTTAAATGCATTAAAAAACAAAAATTATAAATAAGGAAAAAAAAAACTTCAACTTAACATAAAAAATTATTCCCAATACCTTTTTTTTTAATCAAGCTGATTTGTTGTTTGGCATCATAAAATATTCAATAAAACATATGGCATCTGTAACCAGTGTTTAAAAACCCGGCCCGACTATCGACCCGGCTGAGATCACGGGTCACGGGGTCACGGGTTCAACCGGGGGGTCAAAGAGTGACTATGCTGACCCAGTTGTATATATTAAAAAAATATAAATAGATATATCCTATATGAAAATATTAAA